CAGCTCCAAAAGGAACAGCCTGAGCCCCGGAGCCCTTGGATAGAGGGGAAGCAGACCAGGCCTGCATCCTGAGCCATGGAGGGCAGCCAGTGTCAGGGCACAAGGTCCATGGTAAGGACCAGCTTAAGCTCAGGCAAAGCTGGAGCAAAGAGCCTCGGGAGGCTAGAGTGTTGAGGCATCTGATGCTAACATATGAGGCACCAAGCTGCGTTCCCAGACATCTGTCCTTCATCCTTGCCAGTGGCTAAGAGGACATAAAGCCAGACTCTAGCCTACAGAGGAGGGAGGAGGAAAAAACTCCCAAGCCTAACCTAAGACTGGAGTTAAAGGCAAAGTCACCAGGCTGACTGGTAAGTGAGAATCACAGCAGAGACCCGGTCCCACAAACAGGGCCAACACAGTGGAACAGGGAGTCCTGGGGCCCAGGAATCACTCCTACCAGAACTTAGGCTAAGTCCCACCAGCTGGTGAGACTTGGGCTCCCATAAACCTCTTTTCCAGATCCAGACTAGCTCAGGCACTAGGGAGAGCCTGCCAGCAGACAGGGCCCATAAGCAGCAGAAAGCCAGGCAGGCGGGCACCTGCTGCCTACACACAGACCCAGCGCTGTTCTCATCTCCTGAAAGACAGAACAGGAGCCCAGAGAGGACTGCCAGCTGATCTACTGTCTACTATGTGACCTTGGCCAGAAAGCCACACATTATGAAGTGTCCCTTCCACGGTGCCAAGCTGGCTTAAGTAATATTATTGCCAGAATTTCTCTTCTAAAATGTAAGAGTCCTCTTATATTTTAGAGGGTGAGAAAAACACAAAATCAATTATCCATTAACATCTTAGACTTTTTTTTTTTTTTAACATAAATAGGAAGGCCCATCAGTTAGGTAGACTCTGAAAGAAACAAAGGTATAAGGTGTTTTTTTATGTTTTGGGATTTCCTGGGAATAGGGTTTAAGAGACCAGAGAGGATTAAGATACAAGTGGATTCTTCTCTAATAAAAAGCAACTAACTAGAATCTGTCACCAAATAGGGCCTATTGAGACAACTCAAAATTTACAAGTGAAACGCAGAAATTAATAAGCAAAGAGGAAACCACGATTCTCTGAGAGGCCCAAAACAAGAACACTTCTTAATAAAATTAAATCAGTACATTCTTGGAGAAGTTTCAGCCTTTTGGCCAAAGAGAAAGCCATTCCTGCCCATTGGTTCTCAGACCTCCCAAGAAGGGACCATGAAACCTACATAAATTAATAAATAATGATAATCAAAACGAGTAAAAGATCAGACAAGGTTAATATATACACATAATATATAAGCACCATATCTTCCTACAGTTTAATTCCTCAAAATTCAAAAATGCCTTTACAAAAATTTAAATGGACTTTTTAAAAGCTTATTTAAATTACTCTTAAAACACTAGAGAAGCACAGAGTCCTGAGAAATAGACCTCTGCTTCCATCTGCATTTCGTACCGGAATATTAAACTGAAGGCATCTCAACTCTGAAACTCTTTCCAGCATTAAAAACAAAAAAACAAAAAAACAAAAAACCCCTTAGGTTTTCAATTAAGTCTCAATGAATTTTAGAATTAAAATATCACCATCAACTTAAATAAACACTGAAAGTTTAAGGTCCCAAATAAGAGAAGGATGTTAACTAAGATCTCCTTTAAAATGTATCATTTCCCAAATAATTAATTAATTTAATTAAATCTATCATTTCCTCCATCGCTTAGTCTCTCACACACATTATAATTTTTTTAAATTTATATCTTTATATATCTTCCTAAAACTTAAGGTATTGCAGATTTTCCATAAGTGGATTTTAAAAGTGATTTTTATGAGGGAGAAAACTACAAAGTGAAGAAGGGAATGATAAACTTCAAATTCAGGATTTACCAATAAGTAGGAGTTGGGGCTAAGGTAGGCCTGGGGAGGAACACCCAGGGTCCTCAAAGGCAATGGTAATTTTTTTTAAAAAAACTTAGTGATGGGGGGGGTGCCTGGGTGGCTCAGCCAGTTAAGTGTCTGCCTTTGGCTCAGGTCATCATCCCAGGGTCCTGGGATCGAGTCCCACATTAAGCTCCCTGCTTGGCCGGGAGTCTGCTTCTCCCTCTGCCTGCCACTCTCCTGCTTGTGCTCTCTCTCTGACAAATAAATAGATAAAATATTTTTTTAAAAAACTTAGTGATGGGGGGCACCTGGGTGGCTCAGTGGGTTAAAGCCTCTGCCTTCGGCTCAGGTCATGATCCCAGGGTCCTGGAATCAAGCCCCGCATCAGGCTCTCTGCTCAGCGGGGAGCCTGCTTCCTGCTCTCTCTCTCTGCCTGCCTCTCCGCCCACTGTGATCTCTGTCTGTCAAATAAATAAATAAAATCTTTAAAAAAAAAAAAAAAACAACTTAGTGATGGGGAGACAGGTGTTCCCTGCACCATTATTCCCCACACCTTACTTGTATTTTATAATCTTACTGAAAATACTCAATAATTAACAAAACTTATTTTATTTTTTTAATATTTTAAGTATATTTTTACTTAGCATATTTAATTTTTTTAAAGATTTTTATTTATTTATCTGACAGGCAGAGAGGCAGGCGGAGAGAGAGAGGTGTGGAAACAGGCTTCCCGCCGAGCAGAGAGCCTGATGTGGGGCTTGATCCTGGGATCATGACCTGAGCCGAAGGCAGAGACTTTAACCCACTGAGCCATCCAGGCGCCCCAACAAAACTTATTTTAAAAGTAAGTTTATGTTATTATCACTGCAAAAGGTATATAGAAAACATACGTAAATCAAACTCTCTCTTCAAAACATTTTTCAATAGCCGCGTTACTCCGACAAAAAGTAAAACAAGAGTACTTAAAATCTGTACGGTAACCAACCTATCCTTCCCTTTGAACACTTCCACAGAACTAACAAATCAGTATTTTTCACACAGACACACACTATTTTTTCTCATGTTTCACTGTTTCATTTTGTTTACTTTAAAAAACAACTAGTTTTCCCTCAACTTCTGTGTAACTTTCACTGTTTGGTTAAAAAAATCATAATTTTTTTCTCATTCTCTGAACAAATCTGAAAAAGCAAAAATGGGGGGTCATACCTCTACGAACAACGTACAACAGGACTAGTTACATCACCCAAAATGACTGTAAAATTAAATGAAATATTTTGGTAGTAACGGTGTTTTGATTCACTTCTTTTGTTTTTTTTCCTACTGTCTGGTGCCAAGAGGAATCTCGAGGTCAAATACCAGGAAAAGACACTGGGTACCCTAATACTTCTCTTAACCTGTCCCCAGTTCTACCTTATCTCTTCCGCTTTCAGGGAAATGGTAGAAATGTCTTAGCTCCTTTAGTTTGGATTTGTTCACACACCTGAAGTACTTAATTTTGGAAGGACACTCGAACTTGAGAATTCCTGGGGCCCTGAAAGGACAGCTATTTTCAATATTTCAAAAAGCCTAAAACACATTTACCTGTAATTCGGCCATGCTAGGAAATGAAAATGTGTTTGTTTTTTCCCTGCGATTTAACCAAGCTTTCCTAAGTTAAGGGGTTACCTCGTGCAGAGCAGATATCCAGACATCTGTCGTTAATAAAAACAAAAGGATTCATCATGATTAGTTAGCACTTGGGGTCTGAAAAATCATTCAAAATATAAGGTCCATAAAAAAAAAAAAACAAACCCAAAATGAAAACAAATATGAGGTTCCATGGGGCAAAAATAATAAAACTGGTCTTTTATTACTGGCATTTGTTTTCTAACCGGTTATGCTGGTATTTTTACAACCGCAACAACGAAGTCTGAGGACCACTGTCCCAGAGGAGTTCAACTGTCACTGCTTTCAGACACTCCGGAGCGTATTCATTTCCTAACTGCTCCAAATTTGCAAGTCAACTCGCAATTTTTTTACTTTTTTATTTTATGTCTTTTTAAATTTTATTTTTATTTATAGATGTTTTCTTCTTTTATTTATTTCTTTATTTTTAATTAATTAATTATTTTACCAACTCCGTTCTCTGCTCCTCCAACTTTGTAAGACAGTAACAGTCATGGAGTTGTTAAGAGGGAAAATGTTTCACATCACGTCTCCATCCTGCGACAAGCCAGGCTCATTGCACCGGGACTGTTTCTCTTCTCCATAGCTTCCAACATTCTTTTTTTTTTTTTTTTTTTAATGTGGAGTTTGTTGTTGTTGTTTTTTTTAAGATTTTATTTATTTATTTGACAGAGAGAGATCACAAGTAGGCAGAGAGAGAGGAGGAAGCAGGCTCCCTGCCGAGCAGAGAGCCCGATGCAGGGCTCGATCCCAGAACCCTGAGATCATGACCTGGGCTAAAGGCAGAGGCTTAACCCACTGAGCCACCCAGGCGCCCCATCCAACATTCTTTAAAGTCAAAATGCGACCCTCCCCAAACTACTAGTCCTATAACATTGAATGCTCTGGGTGTCTGAACAAAGCCAAATTAAAAAGACCGACTTGAAATCAATAACCTTTAAAAACTTACTTAACCAGCTTTCTAAATAATCCCCTTTGGCCGTGCTGGGTAGCCTAGGGAACAGGTGCAAGGCATGCCTTCCTAGAGGCTGTCTCCTCCTTCATGAAGCTGACCTTCTCCGGCCGGCCTCTCTGGCACCCCACAAATCGGTTACCAGTAAGCCTAATGCCTGCTTTCCCATCTGCACTTTCCAAATGGCGCCCAATGCCAAGGGCTGAGATATGACCTGGCTCTCAGATGAGAACATGCCTCCCCAGTGACTTGCCAACTTTCCCTGGAAGCATTTCTAAGTGTATTCCCTGACCTCCCACCTCACCCTCGGGATCATGGCTCATTCTTCCCTCCCTGCACTTCCTAATTCCACCTCCTCATCCTGTACCTCCAACGCCGCGGGCCTTCAGTCCAAACTCTTCCCGACTCTCAGCCTAAAACCCCAACTTCACATCCAAAGGACACAGTTTCAACAATTTTGCAGCTGGTTTGCAGTGATCTTTTTGAGGCCTACCTGCAGGCAGCTCAGTTACAGCTTCTTCCCTTGCCTTCTCCAGCTTCTCCCTAACCCAGGGAAATTCCTGCAGGGAATCTAGGAACACATCAAATGCTTTAGGACCTCTGGAAGGTAGGATATCCAGCAGCAGCATTGTTTTCCGGAGGCCTGTGGCTTGAGCTTTGATTTCTTGAACGTGGTTTTCTGTCAAGACCCCTTCCTGGTAAAGATACTGAAGAACCAGTCCCTCCACCAGGACCTCGGCGCCCAGCTCCAGCCGAAGGGAGCGAAGCACTTGCTTGTCTCTAGCCTCCATTTCTCCCTGGGAAGAGACAAAATAGGAGCTCAGATTACGGGGAGCTGACCAACCCCTAAACACAGCGTCCCACAGGCAATGCAAGATCCTTAAGGTCAGGTACCACTTTGAACCTCAGCAGAGTCCAGGCTATGGTGTTTAGTACACAGCTGTTAAGCCAAAGCAAATTAATTTTTGAATGTTTCCAAATATAATGAACCACCTGAATGTGAACCATCTTTTCTATTTTTGCTTTCCACACAATGGTTCCTAGCACCGTTCCTTGCTTGATAAAGAGATTTGGAAAAAACTGGGCCGCGGACCCTGCTTAAAAAGAAGCTATGATCTGAGAATTACAGAGCACCATTTCATTTTAACCTACTTAAAAAGAAACAGTGACTTTATTTTAACACAGCCTTCATCAGATACACCCCAATACCAGAGAAACGGTCAGCATGCATGCAGGTGCCCTTTCGACCGTCGGCATTTGCTGAACCTGCATAGCCATGGGAGTGGGCGCCAGAAACTGGTAAGTACCAGTAAGCTTGAGGTTCTCCTCCCTAAGAAAAAAGCCCTATAACCATCACCTCCAAGAAAAAATATTTATTCTGTGTGCCTCTCCAATAAACTTTATATATGGTCACAGACTCTACCGCTTCCCTCTAAGAATTCCGAATCTCTTTCACAACACTGCCCGTACTACATGTGTATGGGACATTTAAAGGGGATTTTTTTTTTCTTTACAAGAAAAAAATGTCCACACACCAGTCGTGGTCAGTAGCCAGGCACGATTTTAAGGCTTGTTTTCAAGACCACTGTGCGAGTTTGAAGGCGCTTGTGTGGAGGCTATGAAGGTAAAGAAAGGGGGTGGGGGGCAGATGGGGCTTCCGGGAACCCACAGAAAGTACAATCGGCCAGCGACCCGACCCCACTCCTTTGAGCAGCCCTCGGTGAAGTCTGGGAGGTGGCAGGTGAGGGGTAGGGTGTACACGTTGGGCCGCCAACGCCCATTTGGAACTTTTTATTCCCTGCCTCGCCAGCTGAAGTCCTGTTGTGTTACGAACAGGAAGAACTATGAGGGATTTTCGGGGCAATCTGACAATCTAAAAAGCGGGTGTTGGGGATGATTTCAGAGTGGACCGAAGGGGGAGCGGTCCCCACCCCCGCCCCATCCGTACCGCCACCCCAACCCGGGCCCGGCTCGGAAATGCGGCGAACAAGTTGGTGGGGGCGCCAGGGGGGAGCCACGCAGGGCCCAGGCCGCAGACGACACGGTGCGGGCCTTCGTGAAAAAATGGATACGGGGTTGCTGGTTTCCTGTTACTTACGTCTGCAAACACGTATATTTAAAAAAAAAGAGAAAGAAAGAAACCGCAACCGGAATCCAGAATGCTAAGTAACCTGTACCATAACCACCATCTTTGTTGAAGGCGAAAGCCCTCAACAGGAAGTGTTGTCGCCATCTTTATTGAGGGCAAAACACCGGAAGTGCTGTAGCCATCTTTATGGGAGGAGAGGAAACCCAGTGTCGAACTGAAGACTTTTCCGCCATGTTTGCTGTGGGTAAACAATATACTGGCCTAGAGAGGGAAAATAGTAGCATCACTTAGGGGGTTATCTAAGGAAAGAAGTATTTTAACACAGGAACTCCGCCACAGCCTTGCACACAACTGACATAATAGGTAGTCAGGTCTCAAAAGTCACCTTATCAGAGAACCCTTCCACAAGCACCCTATTTAAAACTGAAACATTCATCTCCTGCGCTCCCCCTCCCTTTACCAACTTTGTTTTTATCTGTAGCACGTAACACCATCTTATTAAAACTTTTACTGAATTATCTGCCATCTGCTTCCCTCCGCTAAAATGCAGGGTCGTTTATATCATTTTATATCACAGAGTTTCTACCAACAAAGTGATTACAAGTCCCTAAGTCAGGATTCAGTGGCAGCAACCAGCTAAATACTCTAGAAAGAAAAGGATTTGTCATGAGGAATTGAGGACATTCTTAGAAAGCCTGGAAGAGGCCTGGGCATCTGAGAATTGCTCCCTACACACCACCACCTAACTGACCACAATCGGCAAAGCCGAGTTGGGAAGCCACCACTCCACAGTCCCTACCTCTTCTCGACACTGACAGATCAAGTGACTGGACACTGAAACACTGCTGCAGAAAAACCAAGGTCTCCACAGCTGTATTTCCCAGCAGCATTAAAACAGCACCTCACTCTGTCTGTCAAATAAATAAATAAAATCTTTAAAAAAAAAAAAAAAACAAAAAAAAAACAGCACCTCAAATCTTACTCTGATGTATGCAGTTGGTGAAACCTATTTCGCACGTAGACCATGTGCAGCAAGGGTGTCTGGGGCATGTAGTTTGCAGTTTTCCAGCTTCCATAGTACAGAAAGACATTCTAAAAAGAGAACAGCTGTTACTGGGGAGTGACCTGCTGAGTTCACATTTTTCATTTGGAAGGCAAGACAAATGCATGTCCCAAATATGGAGACATATCAGAATATTAGAAGGAGGGTCATTCCTGAATTCCTTTATGAAATGAGGCAATCAATAAACACATTCATTGATTCACTTTTAAATCAATTGGGTGATATCTGCAGAAAGTCATACACCTCATAAAAATTGGTCGATGGTAACGGGAAAAATATCTCAAATATCATTATTTCTGTAAAGGCTTTCTTTTTTTTTTTTAATTTTTATTTATTTATTTATTTGACAGACAGAGATCACAAGTAGGCAGAGAGGCAGGCAGAGAGAGAGGAGAAAGCAGGCTCCCTGCTGAGCGGAAAGCCCGACGCAGGGCTCGATCCCTGGACCCTGAGATCATGACCTGAGCTGAAGGCAGAGGCTCAACCCACTGAGCCACCCAAGCGCCCCTGTAACGGCTTTCTTAACCAACACCTCTAGTGGAGGATGAAAGTATTTGTAAGCAAATTAATGGAAAGCAATTCTAAACCTCACTCCTCAAAACCTAATTTTTGTGACCAGTTTAATGTGTTACTACACCAATATACCATTTTATTATGCCAGTAGAGACATTTTTTTTACATGGGTGGCAAGTATTATTACTATTAGCATTTTATTTTTTTAATGATTTTATTCATTTGACAGAGAGAGTGCACAAGCAAGGGGAGTGGCAGGCAGAGGGTGAGGGAGAAGCGGGCTCCCCACTGAGCTAGGAGCCCAATGTGGGGCTTGATCCCTGGACCCTGGGATCATGACCCAAGCCAAAAGGCAGAAGCTTAACAGACTGAGTCACCCAGGCCCCTATTATTAGCATTTTACATATGTGAAGACTGTGGAATCAAAGTGGACAAATGTCTTGGCCAAAATTTCACAGCTAATATATATAGCAAAACCTGAATTCTAACCAGGTCCTTCCAATTTCATGCCCTTTCCAATACATAGTTTATCACACAGCCATGTGTGGTGAAGAGTCTGTTGTTGTTGTTGTTGTTTTTAAGATTTTTTATTTATTTATTTGACAGAGAGAGAGGTCACAAGTAGGTGGAGAGGCAGGCAGAGAAAGGGTGGGGGGGGAAGCAGGCTCCCTGCTGAGCAGAGAGCCTAATGTGGGCCTTGATCCCAGGACCCTGAGATCATGACCTGAGCTGAAGGCAGAGGCTTTAACCCACTGAGCCACCTGGGCACCCAAGAGTCTGTTGTTCTAATGACAGTCAAAACATTGGCAAATCATTCTGTTGCCACCTCCCACTTGATACTCCTGAGTTCCTAGTACTCTCTTCCCTCTCTTCCTCTTTTTTCTTTTTTCTCCTCTGGAACTGCTTTCCTTTCCTGGGCAAGATTTATCATTTGTATGTGGACAGGTATTAGCAACATTCTCTGCCTTCCTCTAGATAAAGTGCAGACCTCTTGCGATCCTAGCAATAGCTGAGATTACAGACTTTTGGGTGTTATTTTTCCAGCTATAAACTTTGGTAATTTTCAAACATTTACCAAAGTTGAAATATATGGCACAAAGCACATCCATATAAAACTACCTAGCTTAAAACACTTCCTAATGACTTGTCCTATTTGGAAAGGCCTGAGATCTTCTGGGAACTAGAAAGAGACATTGATGATGTCCAAGGAAGGTGGGGGGAACCAACAGTGAGTTCCATGAGAGTTCACAGAAGAGAAGAAAGGAGCGTAAGAGGCAGCAAGAGAAGAGTTAGTGCAGGAGCAGAGGGGCATGGAGTCCAGATGGGGAGTAACTTAAGAGGCTGGTTATTAAGGATCTGACTTAAATCCATAAGGTGAAGCCCCAATTGTTAAATTCCTCTTCCAATGGCAAATTTAGATGAGTGTTTATGGTGTCCCTAAGCGACTAGCCACCTGGCCACAGTCAGCTCACTGAGGGTCACCGTCCCACATTACCATACAATGATACTTTGGAGCAGCTCAACAAAGCTTTAGCTTCACTCATAAATGTCTAAAGCCAGGGGCCTGAAAAGTTGAGCACAGATCAGAATCACTATCACAGATGACTACGCCTCCACTGTGTTTCTTTCCTCTCTGTAGGCTGGAAATGTGCCCCCACAGAGGATTAAGCACCTGTTACCCAGTGGTAACAAATCTATTTTCAGGAAGGACAGATATTTTCCTTTTTCTCTTTCCCCTATGGTGTTTACTTGTGTCAAGTTGTATACCCATTGTTAGGTTGCAAAATAGAGAGCCGAAGAGAACAAATGTACTATTTTTCTGTCTTTCAGTTTGGTCTTTAGTTCTGCAAACTTGAAAACAAAAATCAAAGGAGTCAGACATTTTCCGTTCTTCCTGTTTCATGAATGTGGAAATTAAGCCATGGGGAAAAACAGATTCTTTTCAAGCATACTTGAAACAGTTACAGAAATAGATCATGAATTAAGTTACAAAGAAACGTTGATAAATTCCAAAAATCAACAGACTACAAACTATGTTCTCCACCATTTCACAGTAAAATTAGAAATTTTAACAAAAAGATAGTTTCAGTAATTCCCATAAGCTTAGAAACTAAATAAAATAACTC